TTGTTCCAGCTTAACTATAAAAGCTGAATCAACTGAAGAACCTATTTTGAAAAGAAGAAGATATTTGCAAAACAACGTATCTTCAGACGATATAACAAACACATCAAAAACTATTAATGGAAGTGCAACTATATTAGGTAATACCGGTAGAGAACTTGAAAGATTAGAACTGCCGTCGTGTAGTTTAGAGCAGCCTGGTACTAGTACGAATAATAGCATAGATCAAATAAAAATTAAAACGGAAAATCGATTTGATGAATTAGAACATTGCCATCTATATTTAGATATAGTTAAAGAAGAACACGTAGTTAGTGAACCTCAATAAAATTTGTTTTGTTAATTTATATTAAATAATTTAAATCCATATAATTTATATTATTTATAACTAAATGAATGATAACCTTAAAATATCAGCGTAAAATGCTTTCTTTTTAATTTTTAAACCTAATAGATAAATTTAAAAAAAAATTGTTTGAAAAAATGATTATTTCAAAAATCATATTTTATATAATGAACTCAAATTAAGTCTGTAATAACGTTATAACGTATAGAAAAATATTCAAATATGTGAAAAAAAAATCAATAACACAAATTGATTTCTAATGTCCGTTTTGACGAAGGAAACTATATTCTTAATATAAACTATTGTTTTCAATAGAATGTAATAAAATTGCAATAACAAAAACTTTTTTATTATTTTTGTTATACTAAAAATGTAATTTTCATTTATTGAAGTAAAGTAAATTTTAATTTCTAAATTTATTCGAAATTTATTATTACTTTGTTCAAAAAAAAAAAAATTAGTAAAAAAAAATTCTTTTTTTTAACTGCAGAAAACTATATTTGGCATTTTTCGTTCCAATAGTGTAACCAGAGCAACCAAACTAGCCTATCGTTTTTCATTAATATCCATTAAATCATGGTAAAAATCATATATAGGGTGGAAGTTTATTTCTAAATAAATGGTTATGTAAATACAAAAATGATCAAATAAAAGCTTGATTACTAATTTTTTGTGGCGAGAATAAAATGATCTCGAAGTAAAAATTAAATTAAAAAAGAGATTTTGAATTCCTTAATTTATTCGAAATTTATCGAATAAATTTTACTTTATTATTTCATTTATTATTTAAATTTTAATTTATTTTTAATTATTTTTTAAAAAATTAAACAAACAATAAAAAAATTGGAAACAAATAGTACTGAAATTTAACAATTAAAAAATAACTATAATTAATTAAACTATAAAATTTTTTTTAATTTATTTATCGAACTGTTTATTAAAATGATTATATATTTTTTAATCTACCTGTAGTTCACATCTTGTTAAATAATACACGTCATTCTTCAATATGTAGTATTAATAATATTAACTTATAATCGCAATCCTGATGATGACTCTCAAGGAGTGTCTAAATATAGAGTATAATAAATAATATTAAACGTTGAATTATTTAACAAGAAGGGACCCAGAGCCAGATTAAAAAATTTATAAAAAACCATCACAATTAATTAATTTAAATATTCTACAACTGGCTTATTATTTATTATAGTAAAATTACAAAATCGGGACTTTTAAAGGTTTAAAAAAAAAATATTGATTAAGAAAATCTTTTTTTATACTGTGAATTTAATTTGTTACATACATATATACATATAAAAATTTGTCTCCCTGTATTTCATGAAATAGCATAAAAAGTAATTATAAAAAACATGAATAAAACTTACCGGCACGGTACAAATATTTAATATATGCATAACGCTTAATAAATAATTTATTAAATATTTGTATGGTCGTATGTGAAGGAAGTCTTCTGTGTTGTGGAAGAAAAACATGTTTAAAGAGAAAACTCAGTTAAATTATTTATTTTTAATAAAACACAATATTTTAAAAATTAATTACAGTATTTATTTTCAAGAACAGAAATTTATTATTCACTTTTAATTTAAAATAATTTATAATTTTAATAAACAAATAGAAATCTTTTCACATATACAGTAATGTAACTAAAAACAATATTTTGTTTATGACCGGCAACGAAAGACTAAATTGAAAATATATTGAGCGACAGCCAAAAAATTCCGTTTTGGTCAATTACCGTTTTGGAAGATGAATTTAATCGACATTGTTGCATTTTTATTTAAACAAAACATTTAAAAATAAGTAGAAATTATTAATTCATCTAATTAGTAATTAATTACTTCATTTTATTGTTGTACTTTGTATAGAGTTCATATTTATATGTTAATATATCAATTTTCTTCTAATTTATTGGAAGAGTTAATTTCTGTTTAATTTATTATGTATAAAAGTAATTTGAAAATAATCAATAATATTTAATGAAAAAGGATTAGTAGGCTGCTCTAGTTGCAGTGGCAAAATTTCCACAAGGGTATAAATTGTAAAAATATATATTTTGAAAGCCCAAAAAAAAAACAATAAAAAATCATTCATTAGTTGTTGCTTCAGACATTATTTTTTTTTTATACTGACAGTAAGTAGACTTACCAATAAAACAACAAAAATATGAATAAACCAAAAGGGATTAAATAGTTGAGATTTTTTTTTAATTTAAATAATTCAATAAAATAATAATTAATATTATTATAAAATAAAAAAATAAAGACGTAGGGTCTTTATAAATAAAATAATATCTCTAATAAAACGAAATAACCATTTTTTAAAAAAACAAATTAATCACAATATGTTATAAGCTATTTTATTGTATCATTTTGAAGACTGTATACAAATTTTTGTACAATTACTTGAAATCAAATTTTAGAGTCAACATTTCCATACAATTCATACAAATATTCTTTCAATCAAACAAAAAATGCAGACTTTGAAAAAAAAATCCAAATCCTTTTTTGGGAACATTTTATGAGTGTTCTCAGTAAAGCTTCATAATCGCACGAATTGTATGTTTGAAGAATTGCGGTTTAATCTTTTAAATAGATTTAATTAGTGCAAATCAAGTGAATTTAAACAATTTATTGCATTCGACCACCGGTATCTTTAGAACGGAACCTGAAAACTATTACAAATGAATTAAAACAGATTTGGAATCCATTCAATTCCGCATTTTTGGATTTATTATGATGATTCCATTTGTTTTGCCCTCATATATAAACAAAATGTTCGAAAATGTAGAAGAATTTCTTTTACAAATGGACTCTATTAGGATGGTTTTGGTTATATTATGATAATTATGAAAATTATATGATAAACCATTAACACGAAACAAAAATTATTCATATTTTTGATACCTCGTCATGTCGAACCAAATGATCTTATCTGTCCATCATTTAATACTGAAAACACTTATAAAGATTTTTTACAGTTTTTTTTTATTATTTAATAGCTCTAACATTTTTCTTCGCTGCTGACGGAGTTTTAATTTCTTTTGTTATATTATTATTGTTATAACAAGGGACAATGGTGTACTGCGATCTATGGAATCTTTTGCACTATTCCTTGAAAGACTCACCTAAAGTAATACGACGATTTTAAATAAAAATATCTCTTGGGTCAAGGTCTCTAACATTAATCAATTCGATGACAGTCGTATGAAGATAGTTTGCTTTTTCTTTTTTTTGATATTCACAGAACTCGTACAGATAAGATAAGAAAAGTTTCAACTTTAATTTCACAGGATCTGTAGGTGTCAGCTACGTTTAGTCGCATCATTGAAAGGTGGTAGAAAACGTAAGCATGTCCAGTTAAGAAATAAGTGTCTAAACAGAGTTTAGTCTGTGAAATCTGTTTTGATTGTTTTGGAATTGACACAAGATTTCTCAAAACTAATTTTTAACGTTTCTAGGTATTGATTCGGAGGAATATATGGGTTCTATTAATGGAGACATTATGCTCTTATTCGCGGAACTGTTTTCCAGGATGTAAATATATATTTGTGTTAAGTTGAGGGTTATTACTCTTATAGTGTACCATAAGAGAGCAACGCAAAACCTATTTACAACATAAAAACAAAAACACATATACAAAAATAACTCTGTTGTCTTGTGTACAACAGGAAACAGTTTTTATGTTAAAAATTAATTTAAATAGATAATGTCAAATAGTAAACTATCTACTGCAAATAAATTATTGAATTCAATATTGAATTGAATAAATTATTGAATTTGCATTTGATGTACCTTCTGCTCAAAAAGTACTCGGATTTTGTAAATAAAATACAAATTTAAATTTTATTCCAAATTTATTTTATCTCCTTCAAAATATGCTCCTTCTAAAGCGATACACATATGCCAACGCTTAACCCAATCTTCCATACACTTTTCGTAGGCTCGTGAAGGTATGGCTTTTAGTTCCTTCAGCCAATTTTTTTTTTCCGATACAATCGACTCAAAACGCTTACCACGAAGAGGCAATTTGAGTTTCGGGAACAGGAAAAAGTCACACGGATCCAGATCTGGCGAATATGGTGCCTGAGCGATGACAGTGGTGCCGTGTTTGGTCAAAAAATCGCGTACAACAAGAATTTCTATACTAACAATCGCTAAATGCACTTAAGGTAGTTTCACATTAACAGCTATTGTAAACAAACTAATTGACAAATGGTACCAAAAGAAGGGTGTAAATGTCAAGGAAGGGTGTACCAACATAACAAAAAAAATTTTTTTGAAAAGGGTCTATTACTTTAGGAGTAGTTAACAAACAACGATATCCGGATACTTTTTGAGCAAAACTACAAAATGTAATAAACCTTTAGTTCTCCACTTAAACGTTACTAATTAATAACTTTAGTAGAATGTGATTACGGTATTAAAGCTTATAATATTTTGATAATTAATTGATAATTAAGAATTATTTTCATTTAATATTTAATATATATTCATTTAATAGAATTTTTGCGGTATCCATACAGCTGGTTCGATTGTCATCAGTGTTAGAGATCGCTTCCTGACACTTACAGTTCAAAACATTGTGTAATGGCAAATAAAATTAACAAATAAAAATTAAATTTGCAATTGGTTAATGCCTTGATATATAAATATTTTTTAAATTGGTTGATGCAATCCAATCAAGAACTACTTTCTTGGACAAATGATATCAAAACAGGGAAATATTATTGTTAATATTTATATGAGGATATCAATGAACAAATAAATATATAACATTAATTTTTTTTTTTAAATATCATTAAATTTATATAAGATAAGTAGTTCTCCCCTACTTCCATGCCGTAAAGAGTTTGTAAAAAATTGATTTGATGATTTTTTTTATAATATAAGTATTTATTACATATATGTTATATAGAATTTTGATTAAACTAATAATAAAATTTTATATTTAAATTATATATCGTTGATATCTGCTTTTGATGGAAGTTTAAGCTGTGTACATATATATAAAATAATATTTTATACAATAAAATAATTTAATATTAAAAACATACTAATACAGACGTTTCTTTATTAATAAATACCTTAAACGAATACTCTCATAAAATAAAATAATTTATATATAGATTAAAAGTAATGTATTAAAATAATGTAAATTAATTATTTTTAGTATAATTTTAGTATAATTGCATAAACATCACATATATTTGTATGTAATTTCAACACTTCGTAATACACGTTTCCAAAAAGTGTACTCGTATTATCCCCTCGAATTCAATGAAAATTGCTGAAGTCTGTTTTCAGTTTGATAGTAGGTTTCTGCGGCTTTTGTGCTGCACCCGCACTTCGATTATCGTTCACTTTGTTCGCAATGTTTATTGTGTGCTGCTGATTTCGTATGGCTACCTCAAGTTTTTGACGTAACTCCTGTGTCTGTCCCATCAATGTTTTGAATTCCTGTGGATATTTGGGTCCAATTTTCATTAACCACTGTAATGATTGCTCATGTAGCTGCCGTTGATATTTGGGTAGGGTACGCAATTTACTAGGCTCAGCCAAAAAGTTGATGAGCACAGGAACAAGTAGTGTTAGCATTTGAATACCTGAAGAAAACAGTTAAGTTTGTTATTAATTTTAAAATGCTTTTTTTAACATTTGTATGAATTGTTTACAAAGCAGGCATTGTTTTTAAATTATATAGAAAGCGATCAATTAAACAGTTATTCATTCACATATCATCAGATCTATATCAGTTTATGGGTAGATACTTTTTTACTGAATCATAATGACATATGGAGATATTATATATTAATAAGCCAAATTTTAAATTATTTATGCATTTAATCGAAATATACATAATTTGTAACAAATTAAAATCATATGTAGTTACTGTTAATAGTTATAATCGATATTTTTTAAGTGGTACAGAATTTAAAGTTACATAAAAAAAAGCACATATAACATAAACATACCATAAATACATATGACTGGATATGACTCATTTCAGTCAATTTTTGTTATTTGATATATATACATTAATATATAATTTAAGGAAAAAATTGATGAAAAATTATTTCAGAAATATGGCTGTCACATCAGTGTCTAAAGAATTTCCTCCTGGAGAATAAATTTTCTATCACTTTCATAATTAATTGAGATCATGCGCTTAAAATTTAGAGTTTGGAAAGGAAATAGGAATGCTTCTGGAAATTATACTGTCATCATGCTCGCCTAGAAGTAAGGTATGTAACATCATTCCTACGAACGCCATTAATAATGAAATTTCGATTTGCTAAATTCTTTATCTAAAACCTAAAAGGTTTTGGGAATGTTGTGAAATCGTTAAGTTAGATCTCAATAGTTATAACTGTTTTACGACGGAAATAATTTTAGAATTATTTATCGATTAGCCAACTAAGTTAGGCGATTTTGTAAATATCAATTTTTAATCGCTATCACATTAAAAAGAGCGATTCAGAGGGGTTCAGAAGTAATCTTTTTTCATGTAGTAAGATGCATTATACTGTTTATTTCAAATTAAATAGAGTCTAGTGATTGCAATCGATTTTAAACAATGAGTAGGATAAAACAATATGAAAAACTTCGTAATACATTTCACAAATAGTTTAGATTAATTATAATTGTGATCCCAGGACTATTGGAATTGTGTTACCGTATAAAACTCAAAAGTAGGCACGTATTCATGGAAGGAGGTTTGAGGGGCTAAAACTTTTGAAATATATCGTTGTACTACAGTTATATACATATATATTCATTAGCAAGGGGTCATGCTAGTTTATTAGATAATATATATTTTTTTTTTAATTTTATTGAAATGATACTTCTGCTCTACCTGTGTGATAACAATCTTTTTGAGGAATGGTCTCTACAGATTTATTGTCTATTCCTGTAATAGAGTGGAATAATTATATAAAATATGAGTCATTTATAATTGTCACATTGAGAAAAGATCTCGACAGCCACTATTCTTTACTTTCGTATGAAAGTTAACAATATTCATTTTTATTTTTTACGAATAATATATTGCTGTATCTGAGCGTAGTCCTTGAGATAGTAGCTTGGTTCGTTTTTGTGACGAACAGTGAAACTACAATGTAACATTTGAGCTTCATTTTCAATATTACATTGTCAACATTAAAAAGTTTCAACGGAATATAAACACGGTTTTTCTTGAAACTTTAAAGCTAGTATCCTTTTCTGGATGCCTTTGCTTATTAGGAACTGCCATATATGTTAGACGTTTTTTGTGAAGATAAATATTGTGGGATAAATATAGAGTATTCTTATTCTTATTATATGTAAAAGTACAAAATAAAGACTGCCCAACTTTTTGAATAAACATGAACAGTTTATATCATAAATATCTTATAGAATCTAGTATAAGAAAAAAAAAATAATAACTGATGATGATGGTGATGATGATGTGAATGATTAATTATCGTACGCTTGTGGGATAAATTGCTGGTGCGTTTGTTATAAGAGTAAAAAAACTGCAAACAGTAAAATTGAACATGCGGTATTTATATACATTTAACAAACTTAGTGAGAGTGCAGAGATTATATTTAGTTACTATACTTAATTGTAAGAAAACAACACATAAAGCCAACAATAGATTCGTGCCCGCTATGTACTTCAATATACAATAAATTTTAAGACTTATAATACATATATGTATTTAGTATCGAGCAACATTTTTTATTGTTCCTCTTCATATGATAATTACCTTGCAATAAGTTTCCTATTGTTAATTAAATAACGACAAAATTTGGGATGGAATTATTTGTTTTGGGTTGTGTGATTTTGAAATGCATTTAATTGAGAGATAGAGAAAGAAAGTTAATTAATAATTACATAATATTGCTTTGATAAAATTTAGGAGTGGGATTTTAGGCTTTGGACGTAATAAAAAATTAACACACAACACAAGGGAGTGTTTAAATACTTATTTGTAAAAAATTAATAAATAAAATATATATTTAAAAAAACAAGAAAACTCTCAGATAACTTCGACAGACTAGGCTTATTTAAAGAAACGCTAGGCAAGGTTTATTAATTATATGAGAAGATACTTATATATATACTTACGATTTTGCGGCTCCGCCAACTCAATTAAAGTCTGTACTGTTACGATGCTCTCCAAAGTAATTTGCAATTCCATATCTGTGCGTGGTATTTTTGTTGTTTCCATATATAAACCTTCGATGATGCGTGGAGCTAGGGCATGTATATATGGTGTAGAGGTCTTCAGATCAGCTTTTGAAAAAATCGAACGAGCTGTTTGAATGCATTTTAATTTGACTGACAAATTATCAGATTGCATGCATTGTCGAAAATGATTAATACATGGATATTGCAATGAAGGAGCTGATATCAAGAAAGCCGGTGTATGTAATATAAAAACAGCTATAGCAAGTAACATTGTCACTTCATCGACTTTGCGTTCGTCATCATCACCAGCAGTTTTTGTCAAGTCAATTATAGTTGCAAGTGCGCTTTGTAGCAGTTGTTGCCAATCGCTTGATACTGTCTCATTTTTTGCCCAATTATCAATACATACCGATTTAAGTGTGTGCAATGCGGCTTGTACCGCACTTGTATTTGCTAGTATAGTTGAGTCAATCGAAGATTTATTGGCAATCTCTCTTATAATAGATGTTGTCATGAACAGTATAGTTGGTAGAATTGTAAGTGCACCTTGTGGTGAACAGAGTGCTGTAAGTTCCTCAACACATTGTAGACCACTTGCAACTAGCATACCATTATCTTCAGATAGTACTGAAAAGAAAGACTGCGAAGAACTATTTTTTGCTGCTAGTTCTTGCTGAAATTGTATTGTGCTTAATTTGCTGGCAGCACTAGGATTCATAGTTGGTATCTGTCGTACAAAAACGCATAAGCACACTTCTAAAACTGCATACACATGTGAATCGCCAGGCGGAATTTCACCTTTAGTACCACCTTCGCCTAAGTTTTCTATTTCTGTGTTTAGTGAAATATTTTCACTATTATCCGTATTTTTGTGCTGTTCCAGATATACATTCTTTTTTGTTTCCAAGTCTTCTTTTGCGGCTTGTATGGATTGCTTGAGAATTTCCATGCAGAGTAACTGCACCAATAACTCATCTCGCGTTAAAATTTGGCGATGTAAAACATTGCAAAGTTCAATCGTTAAAGCTTTATCTTTGACTAACTGTTGTCGTGCCCAATTCGAATCGAAAATTGTGTATAAAGATTGTAGACAACTTAAAACATTTTTGGGTTTTTCCGAAGTACGTGTACTACATAACGCTTGCATACAAATTCCAAATATCATATGGAAACGATCTGCTGATAGTGAACCATGTGTTATATTATTATTAGCTTCAAAATTTGTCTTATCCGCAACACCATTAGAATTAGCGGAGTTCGTGTTTAAATGTAAAGCAAATCCTTCATCCTTAAGCCATAAGGAAGCTGCATAAAGTATTGGGGGCCATGATGTCAAATAGTGAGGCTTGGAAGAGTTTATGGTATCAGTAGTGTAAAATGCACCTCCATCATGTGGTAACTGACTTTGAAACTCAGCTGGTAATAATAAAAGCGCGTGATCTTTCATAGCTGCCAGCCAATGCGTCGATAAATTGCTTAATTCTGGCTTAACTAAGCTTAACAAACTTTCACCGTGACTTTCAAAATCACCGAAATCATCATTCATTAAATCACCATTATCTAAGTCTAAGCCTGTAGTTAATGGCGAAATGCTGTTGGTTGTTGTTAGTTTCTTCTGAAACAAAGAAGCCGGTGCTGAACCATTGCCGATCATAGCAACAATGTATACTTCAGCCCAAGCTTTTAAAATGCTTAATTTCTCTAGTGTAGCCATAGATTCGTTGTAAAGTTGTGTGCTGTTGGTTTTCGAGTGTAATTTATCAAGTGATGATACTAACAACTGATGTACGCGTCGTAAATCATTCAAATCTCGTGCTACTCCAGAACCAATCCAAGCTGAGCAAACTTCGCATGCTGCCGCAGTTACATGTGATGGTGTATCTGGTGAAAATGCAGGCCTTAAGGCAGCACCAACCTATAAGAAATATAATATACAACAATATTTAAATATTTTTTTAAATGATCAATCTGGTTAATTTTATTTCTATATATACCACCTATTTATTAAACAATAATTAACTGAAATAATGAATATTTTGTTATATATAATAATACTCCTCTTACACTCGTCAGTCTAAGGCAGTCTGAGGCACTTAAATTGAGTATTATTTTATATAAAGTAAATTTGTTCAACAAAAACGAATTAAAAGAAAAATTCAGCAAAAAATTTATTATTGGTTATTGATTACTTAATCTCCACTTTTGGAAATGCCGAAACATTAGACTAGGTAATAGATCTCCTCTTGACAATATAATCGACAGAAAATATACTGCGAAAACACTGTAATTATTTTCTAATATAAGCCCCCTAGGTACAATCCTGTTAAGGCCACTGTACTGTTTGTCAGATGAATGGCTGATCAATTTCTAAATATAAACCCCATTATGACTATTGACTTATTTGAACAGTATGACTAGACACCCTGATTAAATATATATATTTTCATATAAATTCGATTGGTGCAGGCCTCAGATTTGTTATAATATTTGAACTTATAACAACAACAACAATAACAACAACAAAAAATTTATCAGTAAACGTACTTGTGCTTGGAATTGTTCCAATAACAGATGACCAGGAAATTCCGGTTCAGGCACACCAGCAAATCGATCTATAATTTCCTGTAGTGTACGTAACCCCTCTAAACGTAATTGATCTGAGTCAGAAGTTGCAGCCATGAATGACATACGTATCAATTCTGCTAAATGTAAAATTAAATAATCACCACGAGATTTAATCATTTGCATTTCTTTAGCTTGTATCAAATCAAAATGTATAGGATTTGCTGATTCACAAGTGGAGATAATTTTTCGAACACATTGCGCAGCAAATACACGTGTAGGCCAGCGTGGCTGCACAGCAGGATGTGTTGAAGTATTTTCCTCAGCATGATATTCAGCGACATCATCATCATCCGCATTATCATCATCGTCATTATCATCTTTTGTTGCATTATCTGCTGCATTTGAATTCTTATTAGAAGGATCACTTTTTGTTGTGTTACTTTCATCTTGTATTGCTGCATTTTCCACAGCAACAGTCAAAACATTCTTACAAAGGCTTAACCAAGAGCTAAGGTTATCTGATGCTAACATTTGTAACATGGAAGTAAGCGTATCGTGTATATTTTTCAACATTTCAGCATCAGTTTCTGAATCTAGCATAGCGAATAGTAAACCAGGAAGCCCAAACTCGGTGATGACAAGATCCGGATACTGTTCTGGTGTAATTGAAAGCGCTAATTCACATATTTCTTTAGCTTCTCGATGTGATAACTGTCGAGCCATACGTACAGCAGCTTTGCGTAACATAAGATAATTACTTGATAATGTATTAACTAGTGTAGGCACTAGAGTTGATAGGTTCACGGTTTTCGGAGCAAACAGATGCAATTGCTGTAGACAACCGGTAGCTTCAGCCTGCACAAGTGGATCGGAGTGTGCTTGCATTATCGAAGCCGCGCACAAGAATGAAGACCGCATAGCACAAACAGCGACTGCATTACCCTGAATATAATATCATGATTAATGTTAATGTAAATAGAAAAAAATTATATTCTACTTACTTGTAATTCTGGACCAACAGTTGTAATTAATGCATTCAGCAAACGTCCAACACACTGGTGTACATCAACATTAGAGTGTGGTACCGCAAGTAAAAGTTTCAAACTTAACGATAGAGTAGCTTCTACATAATTACGGAACATCGGCCCACCGGAATCGGCTATAAGCGATAGAGCATACAACGACCAAACCTGCACAACTGGTGATGAGGTGTCTTGTGCTAGTGCCAACAGTATAGATACACTTGTATTTAAATGCTGTGAAGACCCCATGCCACCAACGTAACGATGCAAACATCCTAAAGCCAAAGAATGACCTGTACGCGTTATAACATCTCTGGCAGATTTTAGTTTATCAAATGAATTTTGTGCCAATTCAGCCGTAAATCGAGAATCGCCTACGACTTGTGCCATACGTCCAAGTGCTTCGCCAGCTGCACAACGTAGTGTAGCATTTGAGCTGACCAATGCTGCAACAATCAAATTAGTTGCACTTTTCTTAACGTTTTCTTCACCAATGCCTGATTTACTATCGGTTAAACCTTTTAGACCGCTTAGGAGCGCAGTGAATATATTCATTTGCACAGCTTCTTGGCGGCTGCTTTTAGCTTGTCGAATGCACTCACCAAAATGTTCCAACATCTGTAAACGGTGTTTGTTGGCGACTTTTGGAAAGATTAGGCCGAATAACGAAACCGACATATCAATAACTGCCACACCTAAAGGCAGTGGACCAGGACATTGCTCTATTTTATTACTCGCATTTAGGGCATTGCTAATGGCTGCTGCGCTCATAACACCAACTGTTGGAGGACGATACAAGCAACAAGGATCATGTTCTAAAGCACCCGACCCAGCGGCGCTATTTGGTTGCAACTGCAATTTTACAGCAAACAATATATGCATTATTATATGTGTAGAACGATATCAAAAAATGTAATTCATATGTATGTATAAATAAAGTACAAAGTAAAAGGAAACCATTATGCATTTTATAAAGCTGTACAACAAATCGATAATCTTATATTATTAAGCTTTAAAAATTCAAGCAAATGAGAGAAAATAAAATAAAAATTTTTAATATAAGAAAGGATAACATACATGCACGTACGAATTCAACGAAAAACTTATAAAAATCCTTGGCTCAACGCCAAATAGTGTAGAGCTTAGAAGTAGCAAACTAAATGCTCTTTAAGTGAAACCATAAAAACACAAGAAATACAGCGAAATAAAATTTTAGTTCACAGAAAACACAAACAACACTTACATGCTCCCCATCTGATTTACGA